ATAAATACCTTGCTTTTATACATTTTCACATTAGTCTTAAAAGTTGTCTTCATAAAGAATGTGTGAAATATTGTATTGTTTTTTATACTTTTTCATTTTATTCTACAAAATATCAAAGCGAATATTTAAACATGCCTATAAAGAAAAAATCAAACAGTTGTAAGAAGCATGTCAAACGTGGCAGAGGTATCTTAAATAGAATTATCAACAATTTGCCTGTTGAATTACATATTCCTGGCTACCAATATTGTGGTCCGGGGACAAAGGTAGCAAAAGGAGTATCGAGAGGTGATCCAGGAATCAATCCTCTTGACGCAGCGTGCAAAGAGCACGATATTTCTTACTCGAAAAATAGGGAAAATATTGGGGCGCGAAACGCTGCAGATAAAGTTCTTCAAGAGAAAGCTTGGCAACGTCTATTTGCAAGAGACGCTAGTGTTGGTGAAAAGCTTTCTGCTTACGCAATAACTAACGCAATGAAGGTAAAATCAAAATTTGGAATGGGATTGAAAAGAAAAGAAGGTATGTAAAAGCGGAAAAACAGAAAGAAAAAATCTACATTGAGGAAAATTATAGCGGCTGCTAAATCGTCTATGAAAATAGGTTCAGCAGCACAATCAACCATGAAATCAGCTCTTAGAGGGGCACGTATAGCTGTAAAAATCGCTGGTGGCAAGCGTAATATAAATAAGCCTCGAATTTTACCAATATCTTCTAAGGTGGGAGGTGTTTTACCTTTTCTTATACCTATGTTTGCGGGTTTAAGTGCTACAGGGGCATTGGCAGGAGGGGCAGCGGGAATTGCAAAAGCTATAAATGGTGCAAATTCCGCAAAACGTCAGCTTGAGGAAAGTAAACGTCACAATGAGACAATGGAATCAATTGCCTTAGGAAAAGGACTGTACTTGAAACCATACAAAACTGGACTAGGACTTTATCTCAAACCCTATAAAACAGGAAAAGGATGGAAATCAAAAAACTTAAAATGAAGCTACCACACCGAGCCCTAACAGATTTAGATTTAATAAAATTTGCAAAACGGTTAAAAATTCCATTTTTTCGAGGAGTTTTTATGCGGAATGAACTACCTATTCATGGATCTAATAAAAATGAATCTGCAATAATTAATTTGGATGATAAAAATTGTCCTGGTACACATTGGTGTGCTTATAAAAAAAATAATAATAAAATTATTTATTTTGATAGTTTTGGTAATCTTCGACCACCTTTAGATCTTATTAAATATTTCGGTGTTGGTAGCATAATGTATAATTATGAAAAATATCTAAATTATGATTCATTTAACTGTGGTCATTTATGTCTTAAATTTTTATGCAATCAGTTAAATATTCCAAATATGTATTCTATTCATATAAATAATAAATTAATTAAATATTCCATTCAGTTAATACTTAGATTTCAACATGGACGATTCACTTATATTAACATTATCAGGAAATAGTTCCATCTTAGAATCTCAATTATTTCCCCCCATTGAGTTGTCTCATTTTAAAAATTATTCTCTTGGTCTTGTTGAATTTTTAACTTTTAATTCTATTCCTAATATAGATGTTGGAAAAAATAAGTTTCATGTTGATAATAAAGAAATTATTATACCTACAGGAAGTTATGAAATTAGTGACCTGAATCAGGTTTTGCATTTTATTTTGAAAAATAAAGGAATTACTTTCAGAATTAAACCTAATAACAATACTTTAAAATGTACAATTTATTGTGATAAAGAAATTAATTTTCAACCTAAAGATTCCATAGGCAGTTTGCTTGGGTTTTCTGCACGAAAATTAAAAGCTAAAGAATACCATGAATCTGATCAACCGGTATCCATTATTAACATTAATTCCCTAAGAGTAGAGTGTAATATAACTACTGGGTCTTATATCAATGGGAAAAAAGTGCATACAATCCATGAATTTTTTCCTGTTGTGCCACCAGGATATAAAATAGTAGAAGTGCCAAATCACGTCATTTACCTGCCAGTCGCTGTCAAGACAATAGATCTTATTCAGCTAAGAATTGTTGATCACGACGGACATTTGATAAATTTTCGAGGAGAAACCATTACCATTAGACTTCATATCAAATCTTCACAATAATGGGCATTGTTTTTGATAATAAAAAGAAAATAATTGGTTTTGGTTATAAAAATAATACACCATGCCAAAATCAAATCAGTCAGCGACGAATCCTGAAGAGGCTAACACCTCAAAACCTACAATTACTCAAAAGTCTCGGTCTCAAAGTCGTAAAGAAAAAAGGATAAAGCGATTTAAGATATTTTGCAATTGTATTTGTATATTTGTGTACCGACGTATTATTTGCCATGGAAGGGGAAATTTTAAATATTGATTCACCAATCATTTTTGATGAATCAATTGCTCATTACGAAGTGCATGCGCAGCAGCCATATACATCATCAACGTATAATAATAGTGATGAAATACGTATAACTGTTCAAAATCAAGATCATTGTCTTCTTCCAAGCAAAAGTTCGATTCATGTGAGCGGAAAACTAATAAAAAATGATGGAAACGCAGTAGAGCGCACAAAATTAGTTTCTAATGGCATTTGTCATTTATTTGATGAGGCGAAATATGAACTGAATGGTGTAGAAATAGATAAAAATAAAAATGTCGGTCTTACAAGTTTAATGAAAAACTATGTTTCTTTTGATGCAAGTCAAAATAAATTTCTTGAGAATGTTGGTTTGTTAGAATTTGGTGATACTCCAACATTAACCAATAATAATGGTTATTTTGATGTTTGTATACCGCTAAATATGATTTTTGGCTTTGCTGAAGATTATCAGAAAGTTATTATTAATGCTAAACATGAGCTCATTCTAACCAGATCAAGAACTGATTTAAATGCAGTTATACAAACAGCACCTCTTGAAGAATTCAAAATAGTAATTGAAAAAGTTGAATGGTTGTTACCGTACATAAAATTATCAGATGCTCGAAAATTTAAACTGTTAAAGTATATTGAAAAGGATCCATCTATTCCTATCAGTTTTCGAACTTGGGAATTGTATGAGTATCCTCTATTACCTGTAACTCCTAAGCATATTTGGAGTGTAAAAACTTCAACACAACTGGAAAAACCTAGATTTATTGTGTTGGGGTTTCAAAGAAGTAGAAAAAATAATACAACACTAAATTCAAGTTATTTTGATCATTCTAATATCTCTGATGTTAAGTTATTTTTAAAATCTCAATGTTATCCATATGGAAATATGAATCTCGACATTGACAAAAACCAATATTCTACTTTGTATGAAATGTTCACTAATTTTCAAGCTACATATTATGGTAAAGAATCACAACCAATCTTAACAAAAAAAGAATTTTTAGAGTACGCTCCTTTAGTTGTAATAGATTGCTCAAATCAAAATGAATCACTGAAAAGTGGACCTGTTGATATCCGCTTAGAATTTGAATCAAAAGAAAATTTCCATGCAAATACTTCCGCCTATTGTTTAATTTTACATGATAGAATTGTTGAATATAAACCAATTAGCGGAATTGTGAGAAAAATTGTGTAAATTAAAAAAAATTTATTTATAATAATTCAATTTTTTACCAATAATTATTAATTATTATTAGTATTAAATTATAATTATTTATAATAAGTACTAGTAATAATTTATAATTATTAAAAAATTATTCCTAGTAATAATTTATTATTATTATATATATATAATTATTATTAATAATTCATAAATATATATTATTACTAGTTATAATTAAATTGCATATGAATAAAATTGTATTTGAGAGAGACAGTCACTGCAGCCCACTCGACCTTGTCAAGAATTTGTCCTAGGTCAGTTATAAGAGGCTCATAAAGAAAAACTCGCCTAATTCATTGACACGTGTGAGAGTGGAAGGTCCCCCCCTTCCCCCTTCAAAGCTAGTGCCTCGGCTGTGTGAAAGAAAATACTCTTATGCATAGCTTTTACGTTCTACATTTATTCCTCTTTTAGAATAATAATTTTGTAGATTCCGAAATGGAGTACATACTAGATGTTCAAGGATTCAAATTGCCAATTAATGAATTTGTTGTAAAAGAATTGGCTATAGTTTCTATAAATAATAATGATTCCAATCCAGTGCATATGATTTTTCAACCTCCGTGTCCGTGGAATTGTATTTCGAAGAAATACAAGAGTGTTAATCGGTGGTTAGAAAAAAATTTCCATGGTATTTCTTGGAATGCCGGTGATGTTTCGTATATTTATATAAACGAAATATTAAAAAATACGCTTAAAGAAGCGAGCAAAATTTATGTAAAAGGTCACGAGAAAAAAAAATGGTTACAAGAATTTATTGATGAAAATGTTACTATTATTATCGATATGGATAATTTGAACTGTGTTTCAATAAAAAAATTAAGAGATCAAGCTTTTGTAGTTACCTGTTCACATCATTCGATTAATAAAAAAACTTTTACTTGCGCTCTTCAAAATGTAATGAATTTAAAAAATTGGTTATGTAAAAATAAATTACTGTATAACAATATTTTTTAAATAAATTATACATATATTCTAATTTCAGTGTTTTATTTACTGCATCTACCCTGCTTTATTTTTTTATTTATAGTTTTAACATAAAAATTAATCTTTATTAATAATGCAAAAAAAAATTAGTATTAAAAATTATTTTTTTTTAAATAACATTAAAATTTTGTTTATTATAAATTTTTTTTTAATATTTACATGTTTTAAAAATAAAGGATATAGGATGTAGGTGAACAAAATTTTAATAGACATTTTTTTATAAAATGAGGTTTTATTTTTTCATTTACTATTTTTTTTTAAATATACGAATTCTTTATTTTTTTTAAAATTACATACTAATTAAATTTTTTATTACTAAAAAAATTTATAAAAATTGATAAAAAAGTTAAAATTTTGAAATATAAAAATAAATTTTCTAAAATATTTTTAAAATTACAAATAATAAAAAATTCTTAATTTTTTCTTAATAATGAGTCTCCTCATCGTCTGGTTCCTGTGGTTCCTGTTTAATTATTACTTCCAGGAGACTAGTGGCTTCGTTTACCTCCCTTTGCCTCTCCTCCTCCTCATTTTCCTCATCTATAACCACAATTTCTTCAATTTTGACACCTTGAGTTGGATGGAAATCAATGTCCATTTGACTCATTGTAAATTCTTCGGTTTCTGCTGGATTTGAAACCGGACCTTCTATGATGTCAAAATCAAATTCATCTCCCGATAAATTGTCAATATCAGGACGTTTTTTTAACAGGAACACGAAATCCTGAATTTCCAATACTTCTACAACGACATTCAAGTGTTCCAAGAAATACTCATCGTCCTCCATTGATGAACTTGGACTGAAAAGTCCGTATCGCCTTACTCCTGCCGCCAATGTCAGAAAATCAGTCAATTTCTGAAGATCAAAGCAATTGTTCACCCATTCATTAGGTATTTGGAAAAATAAACGGAAGCCCGTGTAGTTGTCCTCATTCTGCAAAAAAGAAATATATATTATTATTATTAATTGTATAATTAAATAATAATCATAAAAAATTATGACATACAATTAAAAAATAATTTAAATTAACTTTTATAATAAAATATATACCCACGTAGAAAGTGCTCCTGGAAATTGCCACCGGAATTCTTATTCGACATTCTAATGGAATTCCGATTGAAATTCCGACTGGAATTCCAATTGCAATTCTGACTAGAATTCCGATTGAAATTCCGACTAGAATTCCGATTGAAATTCCGACTGGAATTCAAAATGAAATTCTGACTGGAATTCTGATTGAAATTCCAAGGAATTCTTTTTGGAAATTTTTATGGAATTCCGATTGAAACTTACAATGGAATTCCAAAGAATTCTTATTGGAAATTTCTATGGAATTCCGATTTAAAATTTCAGTGGAATTCCAAAGAATTCTTATTAAAAATTCCTATGGAATTCCGATTAAAATTCCGACTGGAATTCCAATTGAAATTCTGGCTGGAATTCCAAAATGAAATTCTGACTGGAATTCTGATTGAAATTCCAAGGAATTCTTTTTTGGAAATTCCTATGGAATTCCGGTTGAAAATTGCAATTGTATTCTTTTTGGAAATTTTTATGGAATTCCGATTGAAACTTACAATGGAATTCCAAAGAATTCTTATTGGAAATTCCTATGGAATTTCGATTGAAAATTTCAGTGGAATTCCAAAGAATTCTTATTAAAAATTCCTATGGAATTCCGATTAAAAATTCTTATTGGAAATTCCTATTATAAATAGAAATGAAATTTCGATTAAAAATTTTAATGGAATTCTGATTGGAATTCCGATTGAAATTGTAATGGAATTCCGATTGGAATTCCAAGGAACACTTTCGTATGAATCTTTTTAACATGTATAAATATGTATAATAAATTATTATAATAACATTAATTTTTTTGTTCAATATTTGCATTCTAATTAAATAATTAATAAAAAGAAATTTAAAAAATTTAAATTATTATTATTTTAAAAGTATTTAAATTATAACTTACCAAAATTTCATTAAAGTCCAAGTCAATGCGTCGTATCCAGTATCCATTCACCATACCGTGAACTTTAGCCCGTACTCCATTGAAATTTAAAAAAACTGGAGAATGAGAATCTCTCTCCCCATTAAAAATGTCTCTTGCTCTTAACGCCAACCCTGTGATGCACAATTCTCTGAATTGTTCCGCATTGCTTTCCAAAAGCCATCTTTTTGGACCCTGAATCATCACTTCTAGGGTTGTGTAATGATCCATTTTCTCCATCGTTTCTTTTAAAAATTCTTTAAAGAAAAACAAAATTTATTTAAAAAATTATCAATAAACAAAGTAAAATTTAAAAAATTTCAATATATGTATAAATTTTTTTCGAAAATTGAAGTTAATTAAAAAAATCTTAAAAGTAACAAAATTTTAATAAAAATTGAATTTTTTTTCAAAAACAAGTAAAAAACACTATAAATTTTTTTAAAATTTTTTTTTAAATTTTATTAAATATTACTAAAATTGAAGGCAAATTTAAAAAAAATTAAATTTAATTAAAATTTTTTTGAATTTCAATAAAAAAATTTGTTTAATTTTAACTAATAAATTAATTATAATTTTAATAAAAAAAAGCTTTAAATGTAAAAAATTTTTTTAGCTACACTCACTTTTTTCACTAAAAAGAAAAAAATCACTGCACTGTGCACTCCACAAGTCACTTAGAAGGTTCTTCTATTTTTGGTGGTTACTTTTTTATTAAAGCTCCTATGGCACTGGCCTCTTTTTATATGCTGTCCCATAGTTTACAATTGAGTGACAGAGACAAATGCCATAGATTGAACGGAGAAGAAATATTACGATAACGCACACACTTGAAGGATGGAGTGAGACAAAACATAATTTTTAATAAGATTGAGAGAGAAAGAGAACTCAAAATGAATAGAGAAAAGAGAGGACAAATATTAAAACATATCCATGTTTTTGTTCTCTTAATTTTTTTGCCTTATTTATATAACTTATTTTTGTACCCCCAAGGAAGGGTGTCTGTACTTTTTGGTAAAAGAACTCTTTTATCGTCATACCAACTTAGAGCCTCTTTTCTTTGTTGTACAGTGTAAACTTGATGTTTTACACTTCGAATTAAATATTGATTTTCTACTAAGTTTTCGTATGAAAAAAGTGTTTTTTTATAGTCCTCAAATGTAATTTCCTTTAATGTTGAAGATCTAACACCTTTGGCTTTTTTCTTCTCGCGAATTTCGTTTAATATTTTATATGAATACAATTTCGATCTTAATCCAATAAACTCTGTGACAATCTTGCCATTGCATTCATCTTTCATTAAACCTAGAACTTTTCTATTTTTTAATTCTATACCATAACAATTATTTTCAGGATAATCGGAAGTATCGAAAAAATGTGAATCGCGTTTAATATAATCATATATGTTTGGAACTTTTATATGATAAATTAAACTATCAGTATCGGTATAAAGTAATTTAGATTGATCACTGAAAGTTTTTTTAACATAATTATAATGAAAATCGTAAAGAAAGAGTTTTGATATATCAAGAATGCTAAATCCAACATATATCGGTTTATTAAATTTAATCTGAACTTTATTCATCTCTATTATAACCAAATTTTCATCAAAAATATAACAACTATTGAAATTTGGTTTACTAATAAGAGCTTTAGCCCCGTATCTACCTTCCCAATGTGTAATAATTCTAATATCCTTATGCTTTCTTATGTTCTCCATTGTCTTCCCAAAAACAGAATTGTTCATTAATTTGTAAAAATTTTTTTCAAATATATTTGTTGACTTTTTTCGAAATTCTGTATTCAAATCAATATATTTTTTTAACCATTGAGATTGATTGAATTTTAAAATTCTATGAATTTTCGTTAATTTCATTCCAAGTTGCAAATAATATTTTAAATTTTTATAATGAATTACATATTTTGTTCTGGAAAACAAATGTGGTATTAATTTAGGTAATTTGCTCCCTGCAGCAGGGGGTATAAAATGTTCGGGGCATAAAGGCAAATCTTTATGCATATCATGAAATTCTTCTGGATATTCCAAATCTACTTCCAAAATATATCCATACATAGAATCATCTTCAATTTTATTCACATCAAACTCTGATAAATTAATTTCCCATTGAAAATTAGAATAGGGTAAAAAATTACTCATCGCTGCGCCATATAAATTATTTATATCAAAATACATTATATAAGATTCTTCAATTTCTGAATTAAATTCTGGCCCCATAAATCGATTGTTTGCTTTCGCATACCTATTTGAGCATTGAGAAATTCCTCCGCGAATACCCTTTTCTATGAAAAGTAACATTTCAATATCTCTTAATAACTCTAATTCTATTTTTGTGAATTTTAACATAGCATCGAATGCAAGTCCTGGTGCTGTAAAATAGTGTAAGGGGTCTAAATTATATGCAGATAAGCATGTTTTTCGAAAATTCTCAAAAACATCAGCTAAAAGTAAAACGTCTGTTTTTAAATATAAATCTGAATATTCCCCCAAGTTATTCAAATTAAATGTATTCCATACTTGACAAGCATGCGCATATTCTTCATTCGATATATTTGAATTATTCAATTTTGAAAAAAAAGCTTCTATTGACGGTAACTTATTTTCCTCTAATTTTTGCCAACTATCTATATATTCATACGGGAAAACTCCTTTTCTGACCAATAAATTAAACTCATCGATATTATTGCAATATTTTGCAGTAATTTTTTTTTCGTTATTATTTAAAAAACTTGCTAATTTATCCAAACTACTAGGCATGAACCTAAACGAGTCTAAAAATTTAAAACATACATTTTTACCCTCGACATATTTGGTAAAAGAGATATATTTTTCTTTATTTATCGGTAAAAGTTTTACATTTCCTTCAAAACTAGTACACAATTCTTTTATAAAAAAATGTGCATCGTATCCCGACAAATTGTGAAAAACTACGGGAACCGAATGCGAATTTTTATAATTAATATTACAACCCTGATGAGCTGCACCCCTATATTTTCCAGTGAAATGACAATGATCTCGATGTTTAATATCATCATTTTCGAACGAATTTTCACAAATGTGACAAATTTTTGCGGTTTTAAATTCCAATTCTTGCTGAAAAGTTAGAGTTTCTATTGGCACTATTTTTTTCAAATATGTTTCAACTAAATCAGCAATACTTATTAATTTTTTCATGAACCAAGAAATGCAATCCCGCCCTCTATAAGATTCAAACACCGAAAGTGAATCATCAAAATTACATTTTAAGTAAAATGCAACGCTTGTCGGAATGTGTTTCCTATATACACCAGATATTATTTCGTTATCATTAAAAGCTTCTAAAAGACTTTCAGTATCCGCATATAGTACAAATGGCACCTTTTCTTTAAATCTAAAATTTTTAAACTTTAAAATATTCTCCTCTTCTGTCGGTAAAATAACTTTACACTCGTTTAAATTCATACAATCAGTTTTATGTTTCAGAAATGAATTTTCATAATTAAAATGACATAAACATCTGTCACATAAATAAGTTCGACCGTGATGTTTTGAGAATTGTGATTTTACCAATCGTGACAGATTACGAATCCACGCGAAGTGATAATTAAAATTATTATTAGTGTGATTATTTATTACAGAAAAAGTGTCCACTTTTTTTATAATTAGTAAATGAATAGTATCTTTTTTAGAAAAATTATCGCTTAAATAAAAAGGGACAATGTCTTCTTTATTTTTACCAACTTTTTCAAAACCATAAATATTTATTTTCAAACTATTCATTTTTTCAAATTTAGAAACATCTTTTAAACTAATAGGAAAATTTATTCCCTCATATTTTAAAACATTCCTAAAATGAGGATAAGAACTTATAAGACTTGCATTATTTTTAACTGGAAACAAAGCTGCCATTACTGACCAAAGAAAACAGTAATCGTTAGTACATTTTACATTTACAACAGCCTTTTTATCAATTATAAATTTTGGTAATTCCGTATTTACAGAACAACCTACCTGAATTGGCGCATGTCTATTTATATTAACCATCAAATTTAAAATCTCCTTCAATGACCAACCTGACTTTTTTTCATTAAATTCCTCAACTTCTTTAAGAATATATTCATTTATTTCATTAAGAATTGTATCTAAGTCTGAGAAGGGAAAAAGAATTTCATTTTTTGTATTAAACGATTTTTTTTCTTGTATATTTTCACCGTTTTCGATAGTTATAAAATTGCCTATTAACACAAAATTCACTTTTAAGCTACTATTTTCTTTTAAAGCATTTTTTAAACGGGATTTTATTACAGATTTTGACTCCTCTAAAAATTTGAACAAATCTTTATGTTTTAAATTAATAACTACTCCTGTTCTAACTCTTTTTTCAAAAGCTGACTCTAAATTTTCCCATTTTCTTTCTTTTTTTTCCAAATTACCTCCACCAGTTTTTTGAATTTCTCTGACTTTTTCGCAAATAGTTTTTAAAATTCCAACAGTTATTATAATTCTTTTTCCTTTACTCACATTAATCAATTCTTTTTTTGATTTCAAAATTTTATTCAAAGATTTATATTTTGCACTACCAATTTTATCCACTTTTCCGATTCCAATAATAACCGTCTTTAACTCTTAATATTTCTCACTATAATATAAGCACTCTCCATAATTTCAATGAGTTTTGGAATATCTATAGAATCCATATTTTCTGTCTTTTTTAGGGTTCCGTACTCGGTTCGGAACCCTATTAATATCGGTTTTTTTGAAATCGTGTACCCCCCCCCCCCCCTAGCGGCCACATAAATTTATCTGGAGGGCTGAAAATTAGTACACATATGTATTTTCGCGTGTAGATTACAGGAAAATTATAGCGAACTTGATTGGAATTGATTAACATAGCGTTGTCAAGGAAAAACCATGAATTTTTACGAAAAATGCCTAAAAATGACTATGTACCCCCCCCCTAGCGGCCACAAGTTTTGACATAAAGAGCTCAAATTTGACACACTTACGTATTTTTACGTGAAAATTACAGGAAAATTATAGCGAACTTGATTCGGATCAATTTACATAGCGTTGTCAAGGAAAAATCAAAAATTTCGAAAAAAATAATTTATTCTCCCTAGCGCACACAATATTCAACCCAGACAGATCATATTTAGTATACAAATGTATTTTTACGGGAAAAATACAGGGGAAAAAAAGCGGTCACGATTAGAGTTGATGATTAACTTTTTATCAAGTTTTTCAAGAAAAAATGACACTTTTAGGAAAAAAATGTATTTTTCCACCAAAAACGAACAAAATTTTATTTAAAGGAAATTAAATTTATATATTTTAACGTATTTTTACGTGTAGATTACAAAAAAAATATAGCGAGCATGATTGGAGTTGATTATCATAGCGTTGTCAAGGAAAAACTATGAATTTTTACGAAAAATACCTAAAAATGAGTATGTACCCCCCCCCCCTAGCGGCCACATCTTTTGACATAAAGAGCTCAAATTTGACACACTTACGTATTTTTACGTGAAAATTACAGGAAAATTATAGCGAACTTGATTCGGATTAATTTACATAGCGTTGTCAAGGAAAAATCAAAAATTTCGAAAAAAATGATTTATTCTCCCTAGCGCACACAATATTCAATCCAGACTGTTCATACTTGCTGTAAAACTCAATTTTTGCGTGAAAAATACAGGGAAAAAATGTAAGCGCGATTGGAGTTGATGATCAATTTTTATCAAATTTTTGAAGAAAAATGATAAATTTCAGAAAAAAATGTATTTTTCCGCAAAAAACGAAAAAAGTTTTTCTACAGTGATTCAAATTTATAT